GGGTGATCATTCTTGCTGGAAATGTCTGCTGAGGAGTGATAATAACTGATGCCTACTAGACGGAGAAAGTCCCTCCAACATGTTCCAGATTCTGTGCACACAGAACATGGACACATTGCTTAGTTATCTCTTTGTTAACCATCACTTGGTCTGACAGAACATCTGTTTTGCCAGGGCTGGTTGGACATGCACTTCTTTATTCAGATCAGAAAATTAACTGCTTTAAATATTTACTGTGGTTTTTGGTTTGAACTGTGAAAGGCCTTTTCCTATTGAGAAAAAAATGATAATGTTGTTTAAAATGTCTATGTGGGTTTAACATGGACTGGTTTGTTTGTTTTTTTAAAGGAATCTATGAGCCTATTCATTCATTCCTTGGTTCCTGAGAATCTGCCTAGAGTTAGACAGGGGTGGGGTGGGGAATCTTGAATGTACACCACCAGCAGCCAAGTACCATTTTCCGGTCTACATCACCAGCCGCTGGGTGGGTCCTAAAGCCCAGCTCAACAGGCTCACTCCTGCTGTGGGAGATGGTTCATGGTGTCAGCAGCCCACACTGAGCACTGCTGGTCAGTCACTGAAGCTGCATGATGGCTAGTTCTGACTGAACCATCTTTGCTTCTACAAATGTCACACAATCGCCACCACAAGACCGTGGGGCTGCCTCCCCTTTAGTACCACTAAGAAGCTGATTTTCACACTTTGCCTCACATCACCAGCTGCTACTAGCTCACACTGCATGCTTCCTACTCAGCTCTTCTTAGAGCAGGAGAAAGCTGGTTACTGCATCATGCAAGGCTGCATCTTTTGGAGCACAATACTTCCCTCTCACCTGGAGGAAACTAGAGGGAAGTAGGGAACAAGGGAGAAGGTATGCTCAAGGCCTGCTCCTGGTCTCTGGCTGAATAGGCTAAATGTGTCATATGATGCCAGACTCAACACCACCAATATTTGATGCAGGAGTAGAGAAGACTATGAGAGCACCACAGAAGAAGGCAGGCACACAGAAACGGATGCACTGCTAGTCTGCTGGTTAAGGTCAGCCAGAATGTTATTTCAGTGCTCAGTTCTGAAATATAAATTAGGCACATATTTAGGAATATATTAATCTATCCTTAATTTTCTTGTATTTTCTTATGGTAATTATAGGTGAAACAACAGTGAAGATTGGGACTTCAGATTGGGGGAAAGTTGGCAGGCATGTATTACAAATGAGTGATGTGCTGCCTGACACTTTAAATGCAGGCAGTGTATGTTCTCAATGTAATTTAAACCTAGTATGTGATCATTTACTGTAGCAACCACCAAACACTGAATTTGTGGTGCTGGTTTTTCAGTAAGTCAGGAATGAAAACAGGCAAGCAGCATAACAATTCAAACCTCACTAAAGCTGGAAACTTGGAGAAATTTCTCATCATTATAACATTACTTCACCTATTAATAACTCTAGTTAATCTTTATATTTATACTTAAACTGAAATAGAATATACTACTTCGCTAAATTAGACCCAGACTCATTATGGAAACTCATTATGGTATATTTATGTATATGCAATCACTGTGTTTTTCATTTCAATTACTGTTAAAATATTTGGAACGCTTAGCAACAGGGTATTTGTACATTTGATTTTCCACTCCCCCCCCCCAAATGTGAATGCAAGAACGTACATGTCATAAAGAAACCATATATATATTTCAAGGAAGGAAAGCCTGTTGAAAAGAATGCTGATTGCTGTCTTTTGAAATAACAATGCATGTACACTACCTCTGAATGTAAAATGCACCACAAATATAAAAAGGAATTTCACTCCTGAATTTGTTATGGTTAAAAGTCCACTTTTTATATAGCAAGGAAAAAGTATTAAGGGCAAATATTACTAATCATGACTGTATCTAATGAATGCCGGGAACTGTATGATAGTGGGAGAGCACATGCTATGCTTTCCATGCAAAAGGTCCAAATTTCAACCCCTGACATTTCCTGGATGGGCTGGAAAAGTCTCCTTTCTGAAACCTTAAAGAGCTACGACTTCACAAGAGTGGCCCGGGATGGCAGATAGGAGCGGCGTGATGGTCTCGTCCCTGAGATCTTTATATAGGGAGCAAGACAAGAGAACGTGTGACACAGTCTCTACATAGCCAGCTCCACAGGGGCAGAGCCGGTTCTCGAAATTTTTTGATATCTACCTTCAAGAACAGCTGAGGGTAACATATTTAATCTGGCCAGCCTAAAGGCCCGCCTGAGTTTTGGTATGGTTAAGGTCGACAAATACGGTGCCTGAAAATCAAAGTGGGAGGGGGGCAGATAAGCGTACCAAACACTAAATTTCTTAATATAGGCCAGATTATTCTGCTGCTCAATATCCTTCATCCAGTTTTTACCTAGGGTTTTCATAGGTCATAAGATTTTATGGTATTTATATCTATAATGTATTTTTGTCGGTGTTTGTTCTTTGATGCTATGGCCTGTTGGCTACGCAAATAAAGTCTATTGATTGATTGAGCTACGACTAGTCGGTGTCAATAGTGTTGATGCAGATGAAGCAAAGACCAATGGTCTGACTCGGTACAGGTAGCTCTTATAAGACCTGTGCTTGTGTGCATAGCCCATCCAGCGATATGAAAAGGGATCTGACAATTTGTCCATCTTGTGAGGATTCTCTGGCCTTCACAAGCAGGGGTTGCAGGGAGCTGAAAAGCTCCCCTGGGAGTGTGATAGACCACAAACAACCTCTTCCCTTGGATTTATTAGAGCCAATGGAGGTTGTAGACAGGATACTAGGCTAGGTGGACCATTTGGTCTGACCCCGTAAGATGATTCTTGTGATGGTGCCAAGGGATTTTCTACTTGCTGAGGTATCATTTAACGGGAACTGGCTATTATGGGTAATGAACTTTTCACCATTCTTGCCAATAATGCTTCTTCCACTAAAGTCTGTTTATACCGGCTATATCATTTCCACATGCTCAGTGGCAGGCCTCCCTCCTGTAGGGCAAGAGTTTGGACTTCTTCCTACAGACTGTGTTGCGGTCTGAACAAGCCAAGCAGCCACTCGCTCGCAGTGCATTCTCCGCCCATATTTTGCGGCAGGCTTTTCTGCATCTCTTATATAAGCATCTGCCTTGACTTTGGGTGCGTGCAGGTGTTTTTCACTTAGATCTCAGCCTCGCTTGTTCCTTTTATGAGCTCTATACTCTGACTTGGCAGGATTTCCTGTTTTCTTTGTGGCTCTTGCATTCACTTTGTACAAATGGGTCCCACCACCACCACCACCACCTTGCTGCTGGAAATTGTACGTTGGAAGAGTGCGAGGGTTTGTGTGCCACTGTTCCTTATCACAGTAGTGCCAGATGCCATGTACTCAAAATCTGAAACAAAAATGGGCTTTTGTCCATACTGGTCACTTCCCACAAATCACGTCAGCCTGACCCACACGTGACATAATATGTGCCTTCAGGTGTGGGGCAGGTAGAGACGTAGCTGCCACTGCAGAGTCAGGAGCCTTAAAGTGGCCAACCAATGGCTATTGATCATGATAACTACTATGGAGTTCCATGTTTGGAGGCAGTGGACCTTTGGTTTGATCCAGCAGGGCTGCTACATTCAATTTCCTTGCAGTGTAAAAGATTCCCAGTATCTCCTGAATTGTTTTTCTAACTTCTCTACTCATTCAAAAATACACTATGCGTATAACCTCGTTAACTCTCTTGATCCCCAAATCTAGCAGTGGCAAGGATATTGAGTTGGAAGTTGCAGGGTCACCAGCAGAGGAGGAGGACTGGGTTTCTGGCTCTAAGCATGATGCGGGTGTTCAGGAGTCCACTGAAGCCAAGACTGGCAGGCAGCACCAAGACCCATAGGACCACAGCGGGGAAACTAATAATAATAATAATAATAATAATAATAATAATAATAATAATAATAATAATTTATTTATAGCCCGCCCACCCTCCCCAGCCAAAGCCGGGCTCAGAGCGGCTAACAACAGTAAAATGATACAATGATTGACATTTTTCCAGGCCTGAGGAACTGAGTGTCCCCCACTCCTATAGTACAATGGCGCAGGGAGTGCACCAAGTGGAAATTCCAGGAGCACAATAAGAGAAGTGTCTGTCTCTTTAAAAGACTATTGCTCTCCAAAATAAGAGGAAACATGGGAGATCAAAAGGGTTCATTTCATTTCCAGCTTTCCTTGGAACAAGTTGATCACTAAGACATCTATAGGTTGCTTCATGGGATCAGAAGAGGACAACAACCTACAACGTAATAAGGCACCACAAAGATAATAAAATAGTGTTATGAGTTTGTGGGTCCCAGACTCCCCTAAATTCCTGGGTCCAGTAGATGTTAAGATTTAATTAAGGCTTGGGGTGCTAAGCTGTGTGCTTGACACTTCTAATCCCCTGGAATCAGTAAGTGTTAAAAGTTAATTAAACTAGGCTAGTTTGCCGTGAGGTGATGATGGGCTATTAACTTAGCTTAGGTTAGAGAAGTTAGTGTTAGGAGTGATGTCACTGAGAAGGAAAGCAGCAAGCTGGGGACAGAGAGAGAGAGCAATGGTGTCTGTCTGAATCCAAGGCTGTGACTATGGGAGGAACAAGACCCTCATGAGGTGCTAATGCTGCGAACCCCTCCATTGTAGGCTCAGGTTGTATATATGTGTAAATAAACCCTGTATCTTAAAGACACCACAGCCTCATTCTGAAAGGAAACATGAACCCTAGGTAAGTGCTTGGAACCCCTGGAATCTTGCACCACTCAGAGATTTGGGTGGTGTGAAAAAAGATTGAGGCTGCATGCAGCAATATGTTCCATGTCTTATATATCTTGAAAATAAAAATCAACACTACTCTCAGTCCTTAGCAGACTTCAGTAAACTAACCTAGTATTCATTATCTCTTACATTTTAGCACATAATTATAGGGGAATCAGGCAGAAAAAAACGATACCTGTTATGAATAAAATTTATACCTGATATGAATAAAATTAAGTGTCTTACACGAATAGTTCTTTATAATGGCTGATTTCGGCAGCTGCTTTCTGGAACTTGTGCTCAATTGTCTCTACTTGACTTGTTAAATCTGAAATAAGAAATTGTTAATATATATTATCATCATTTAACATTATTATTCTGTCCTGCGTTATTCCTCGAAAGCCCATAGTAGGCTGTGCACATTACAGCAGGTAGTCTTTTTTAATGCTCTCATTTGCATGTCACTTTAAACCGCAGTTAAAGGAAGTGGAACATGGCCATTGAAGCTAGCAGCCATAAAGCCATCCAAATTGGTGGCCATCACTCTCTCCTGTGGGAGCTAGTGCAATAGTTTAATTGTGTGCTGCATGAATAACTTTCTCTTATATGTCCAGAATCTTCAAATGTTCAGCTTCAGCCATATCAGAGCTTAGCTCCCAGCAGTTCAGGAGCAGCAGGAATGAAGGAAGAACCAAGCGCCCATGATTTCAGCATCATACACCAGCATGCTGTACATTCACCTTACTTCATCTGTGATTTAAAGTGATACAAGAACAAGGCACCTTTCTACAAAACCAGAAGTGTATAATAAACATCCTGTATATAAGCTTTTTGTAAAAAGAAGTCAAGCAGTGTCAACTTCTGAAACTGATAGGAACTGATAGGAATTGGTCTTTCAACAGATTTTGCATTACCGATAGGAAGTAATTAGTACGTTCACTTTGTTTTCTTACTGTCTATTCTAGACTGATTTTAAACTTGCACATAATACTGTAATAACCTGTACTCTAAAAAATCATTCTGGAAATAAAAGCCACTGGTTTATACAACAGTCCAATAAATCCAATTTCAGAAAGGAGATTCTTAAAAAATTATTCTTGTGCTGTCCTATCCTTAAGGTGCTATAAATTCTTATACACTATCATTAGCCTAGGGAACATTTCTAAAAATTCAAACAATTGATATTTTAGGCAGCTGGTATAGACAAGTGATGATACTATGAACTCAGAGAGGGCAAATTCACACTTTACAGTTGGTGAGATTTTTGCAGATGTAGGAGTCACTCCTTCAACAGCATCCATGGGACCAGTGTAATGTGCAAAGTGGCAGATCACAGACCTCAGCTGTGGAAACATCTTGCCAGGGACTGCTAGGCCACCTATGTACAATGAAGCTAGAAATGGGCAGCAAGAAGGGATAGTCATTTACTAAAGGTAAAAAGGTAAAGGTACCCCCTGACCGTTAGGTCCAGTCGCCGACGACTCTGGGGTTGCGGTGCTCATCTCGCTTTATTGGCCGAGGGAGCTGGCATACAGCTTCCGGGTCATGTGGCCAGCATGACTAAGCCGCTTCTGGTGAACCAGAGCAGCACAGAGAAACGTCGTTTACCTTCCCGCTGGAGCGGTACCTATTTATCTACTTGCACCCTGGTGTGCTTTCGAACTGCTAGGTGGACAAGAGCTGGGACCAAACAACGGGAGCTCACCCCGTCGTGGGGATTTGAACCACCAACCTTCTGATCAGCAAGCCCTAGGCTCTAAGTGCCCCATAAATAACCTCACAACCAAACAGCATTTGATGATAATTGCTGCATTAATCTTGGCACAGATGTCCCACCCCTTGAATTTGAAACTATTTCTACCCTGATGTACTTCATATGCACATCACAGATAACTCTATCGTCATTGTTGTCTAGCATATCCAGAGCACCTGGGTACTGCATGTACCTAAGGTGTGTAATCTAAATAAAAAGGAATGGAAAATGAATGACAACTTAGATAGAACCTTCTTAAGATGATGTTCAAAAGAAGAGGACAAATGGTTTCCCCCAAACATTAATTTGCTTTGAACAATTACAGTGGGACATACGGACAAATGATCACTTCAAATGATGGAGAAAATAAAGAAGTTTCACAGTCACTTCCCCCACCCCCAGGAGTTAATCTGTCAGCTTTTGTTAGCTCATAGTGGCTGCCAACTTGCCTTGCTTCCTGCACCCTGCTGTGGGGATACTGAAGCACCTCAGATTGTACATCTCCCAAGCCTGCTGTTTCCCCCTCAGTGAAATCATTTAAGCCAACTGACTGGCAGTGGCAGGGAACAACAATAACAAAGCTTCAAAATGCCTGGACTAAATACAATCCCAGAGAAAGACACACACACACACACACACACACACACAAATACACACAGCCACAATAATGGGAAAATACCCGAGAGCTTAACATTCCAGAAAAGCAGCCATGTCAGCCTGTAAATACCTGGTTGCATATAGCCTTGGGTGCTTAGTTTCTGAGTGGAAAGGTGACTCATAAATGTTTTAATTATTAAGAGCAGTAGGAAGACAACAGGTACCTTGGATTTAGTAACACATGACAGATTAAATTCTATTTCTTTAGTTCAGTGGTTCCCAATTGGTGGTCCATGGACCCCAGGAAGTGTGCATAACCCATCCGAGGGGTCTGCAGCACCATTCATGTAACAAAAACTATCATAGATATATCAAAAAAATCAAAAGTAGGGGGTCCATTGCTTGGCCTTTCAAAAACAGAGGGCCTGCATTTCTTAGCTAACTGGGAACCACTGCTTTACTTACTTGTGGCAAAAAAAATGGAAAGCTTCATTTGTATTCAGAATATTTAGCTTATGTTTTTCATAGAACAATGTTTTTATGCTGCTCTTCAGATATAAGCATGTGAAAAATCTGACAAGGACAAAAAAACCCAACCCACATAACTGTAGATTATGTCAAAAAGGTATTGTCAACAGCTATAACAGAAGCGGTCATGGTGACCCTTTCGTTACAGCTCGAACATTCCAGAGATATTAAAGATGGCACACAATGACGCCAAATGTTGAGATAACAATAGGTGAACCTTTTACATAACCCCCCCCCCCAACCCATCTTCTTAGTAAAACCTCATTACCGAGAGGAAAATGAAAGTACACACAACTGGAAGAGCTGTTACGTAAAAATGTTTCAATAATTATATCAATATAGCAATGGCAAACCTAGACAGCATCTTAAAAAGCAGAGACATCACCTTGCCAACAAAGGTCTATATAGTTAAAGCTATGGTTTTCCCAGTAGTGATGTATGGAAGTGAGAGCTGGACCATAAAGAAGGCTGATCGCCAAAGAATTGATGCTTTTGAATTATGGTGCTGGAGGAGACTCTTGAGAGTCCCATGGACTGCAAGAAGATCAAACCTATCCATTCTTAAGGAAATCAGCCCTGAGTGCTCACTGGAAGGACAGATCCTGAAGCTGAGGCTCCAATACTTTGGCCACCTCATGAGAAGAGAAGACTCCGTGGAAAAGACCCTGATGTTGGGAAAGATGGAGGGCACAAGGAGAAAGGGACAGCAGAGGACGAGATGGTTGGACAGTGTTCTCGAAGCTACCAGCATGAGTTTGACCAAACTGTGGGAGGCAGTGGAAGACAGGAGTGCCTGGCGTGCTCTGGTCCATGGGGTCACGAAGAGTCGGATACAACTAAACGACTAAACAACAACATGACAGCTAATCCAGTTGGAGAGATCAATGTGCTTGAGAAAGTTGCCTTATGCAGACCATTGGTTCATCCAGCTCAGTACTGTCTGCTCTAGGGAACCTTTGACCCTCCAGATGTTGCTGAACTGCAATGCACATCAGCTCCTGCAAGCATAGCCAGCATCCAGGATGGATGGGAGCTGTTGTTCAAGAACACGGGGCGGACCAAAGGTTCCCCACACCTGGTCTCCATTGACTGGCTGAAGATAGCCATAGTTTTAGATAGCAGAATTTTCCTGCCCTTTCTGGAGATGCTGGCAATTGAACCTGGGGCTTTTGTATGCAAAGAATGTGCTCCACAAGGCTAAGCCACAGCCCTCCCCCAGCAGGTGTTTGTCTTGGGATAGCTCAGTAGGCAGAGCATGAGACTTTTAATCTCAGGGCCGTGAGTTCAAGCCCCACGTTGGGTTAGACAACCCTGTGGTCCCTTCCAACTCTACAATTTGATGATTCCATGAAATATAAGAGAAATAAGTATGCTTTACATATCACTTACTCATTCTCTCACACACAAATTATCAGGCCTCATTAAAATACATGAAAAAACAAGAAGTTCCTTAAGAAAATTGGAATACTGTAGGATTAATGTTACAAATAACCTAAAAGTTAAGCACCTGATGAGTCAGTCTAGTCTATGAAGGGTTATGCCATAATAAAATTTCTTAGGTCTTTATAGATACCACTGAAAGGCAACAAAATATCAGGGCTGCATGGCTGACAACTAAAATCTGTCATAGACCTTACACTTTTCCCACTGGAAATGCTTACATTTAACAACAGCATGCATGCAGAAGCTGCAATGTGTGGGGGCCATTCCTGTCATGGATCGGCCTCCACATTCATGCCAGCCACTACTAAAAACATATACTACACCAAGTATGTAAAACCTCCAGGTAATAAGGCTGATCCGTGGGGTGAGCAGCCTTTGCACAGCTTGTGCATACAGCCCCCTGCCACAAAGAGCATTTACTGCAGTTTCCTGTTGGGGTGTAGGGGGCATAACATGAGGACCAGCCCCAGGTTATTGATAGGACTGTTGCTGTTCTGAGCTCCTTGAAGGGAGGGAGGGAGGGATAAAAATGCAATAAATATGTTTACTGTGCTTGTTGACATCATGGTGTTGAGGATCTTATTTTACAAGTAGCAAGAGAAAATTGACAATTATTTTGCATGCCTGTCTCTTTTAGGTTATGTTCTCTGCAAAAAGTTCTAGTCCGGTTAGTACACTGAAACATTAAGCACATGGGAAATTAAATTACAAATAATGGCTTTCTGCACACATTTTTTTTAGTCTTTCTGGCTCCCCTAGTGGGAATAAATTGTTTTGTTAGACATTTCTTTTAAAATGCTTCCATTAACAGCAAAGCATAAACATAACTGATTAAAATATATTTTGGTTTGATTAGTTATTTCCTGGAAAAACAGTAATTCAGCCTATTAAGTTTTTATTTTTATTTTCCTTCATGACAGTCATGATGTTGTTGTCTGTTTGTTTGCTAAATACCTATACCACCCTTTATCCAAGGAACATTGGGAGGTTTACAATGTAAAATGTTTATTGAAAATAAGAGAACATTCACCCTCTTCTGGGGATAAATAGGAATTTAGTTTACTGGTTTTCCGGTCATACTGACCTCTAAGAACAGAAAAGCAGATTAGAGAAAGAAATATGAATATTTAAAACTACTCCAGTGAGAACAAAATGTGCAATTATTAATATGTGGTTTTTATTTTTACTTGTCAGCTATAACTGCTCCATCACTGCCTGTTACTCAATACATTTATCACTCTTAATAAAACAACTAGTTCTAGATAACTGCAGCTTCATTAAAACAAAGTAATTAGATGTTTGCGGGTTTTCCCCCAGCCCACTGCTTAAACTTTCTCCAAGTGTGTTCGCTGTGTCAATGGAATATTACAAAAGGGGGAGTCTGCGTCTGCTTTCCTATCTGTCCTTTACAGTGGTGATGTTGCAGCACACAGTAAAGAAGGTCTAAGATTGATCTTATGCGGCAATAAGAGCAATGGGACTAGAAATTTAAACTACTGCAATGTTTTATTTAAACTACTGCAATTTGTTATACGTGGGGCTGTCTTTAAAAATAACTCAGGAACTGCAACTAGCCCAGAACAGGACTGCAAGAATCTCAACTGGAACGGAGCAGTTTGATGCCTGTGTTTTGCAAGTTGAACGGGGCCCCCATCCATGTTCATGTACAATTATTGTGCAGCTTTGACCTCTGAAGCCCCAGGCAGCTTGGGACCAGGTTATCTGAAAGGCTACCTTCTCTTTTAAGTATCCCAATAACTTTAAGGTCTTCTCTGGAGGCCCAGCTTCAATTTCCCTGTTGAATGATATGAGGTGGGTAGTCAGAAGGCTGTCTTGGAAGGAGCACCTCCATTATGGAACCACCCTCCTAAAGCAGGTTTGCCTGATGCAATCCTTGTGGTCTTTTAAGTTCACCCTTGCTTTCTAAGTAATTTATCTAGGGTTTGCAGAAAGTTTTGGGTTTCTTGCTGTTATTTATGCATATTTTATGGTTTATGCCTTATTTTTTATTTAAATGTATACTTCTGGATTGAAAACCACTCAGAGAACGTTATGCTGTGGGGAAGCAAACAAATGTCAAAAAATAAATAGGTTGTGTGTGTGTGTGTGTGTGTGTGTGTGTGTGTGTGTTTGCCACATGAGCTTGTGAGGCTCAGGCAGGTGTTTTACATCTCCTTCATTGTCCCCAGATCCAGTGGATTCCTTGGATTTACATGTCAAGGGCTCCTTCTGCAACAACAGCACATGCTAAAATGGCAAATTCCTCTGTTCACTGCTGTATCACCGTTACCACTGGCCCTGTAATGAAAGCCATTCCGTACCATAACTACTGCTGTTCAGGACTTGAAATCACATACTGTGAGAGCAGCAGCGCTCTGCAATTACACTGTCATTTTGATGAAGCAAAGCTACTTTTTGAATAGCACAACCTGTACACTTTTAGAATATTTTAGTTGCCGGTCAGGATCACAGATCACAGATGGCGTTGGCTTTGAAATGAAGTTTTTGAATCAAAACAGAAAGGCAGCACACTTTAAAAAAAACAACACCCGTTAATGCCTGCATTGGACTTGTAAAATGAATGAGAGACTAACACGACACTTCTTCAGTTTCAGAGAGGAGACCACAAGACACAATTAGGAGAGGTGCCAGATTGTGCCAAAACAGACAGGCGTTGGATGAGCCTAAGAACTCTGTGCCTGGCTACATTCAAGCTTCACCAGGGATGCCAAAGGCACAAAAATGATCAGCTAGAACAAAGGGTGCCTCTAAATGAATCTTAAAAAGAGATTCACAATACTGAATGCTCTTTTGAGCTCTCGTTTTAATGCATTTATTTATTATTAAAAGTTGTATCCTGTCCACATGCTATTGCAATGTATCCATGCTATCAGGGAACTGCCATCGGCTCAGGGGCGAGGGGGGGGAAAGGCGGGTGGATTACAGAGAGCCCCCAAAGATCGTGGGAAGCAGCACTTTCTCAGCGGAGGAAGAAAGCCACACCTCTAGTGGGGAGGAGATGCAGGGCTTGGAGGATGCAAGGCGGTGCCAGGACACCTTGCCTGAGCAAAGCGGGGAGGAGGGAGGTCCCCCTTTACCCAAGCCTTCCTCACGCAGTAGGCTTTCGCGCAGAGAGGGGAGGCGTAGGCTGGGGGTCAAGAGACTACTCTGCTGGGGAAGATTTAAGGACCGCCCACTCTCAGATTCTGCTAGTGAATGAGCAAGACATGGAACAGAGGCGCTCTGCATTGTAAAGGTTTCTTAGCACCAATAATAAAGCTCTAGAACAGACCAGTGAGGCATCTTGCCTGATTGCTCTCAAGAAACCACCCGATAGCCATAACACATGTATACAGCGTATTATCTAACCCATCAGTGGAATGTGCTTTTCTCCACTGGCAGGCTGCTCCATCACTGCCACCTCATCTCCCCTCTTTGACAAACAAAGAGCCCTACGGCTGAGTGCCGAAGATGGAAGCAGTACGACCTCTCCTGTCTTTGGCAATCAGCTGCTAGGAGCTTTATGACACATAATGCAGACACAAAGCTGGTGTGTAGCACAGTGCTTAAAAGAGACTCCTCGAATTTTGGTCACATCCATGCCATATGTTTAAAGCACATGGCTTCCCCCAAGGAATCCTAGAAACTATAGTTTCTTAAGGGTGCTGGGAATTACAGTCCCGTGAGGGGTCAACGACAGTTCCCACAGTTATCGGGGGGAAGCTGGTACGTACAAAGCATTGTGAGATGCTTTAATATATCTCTGAACATATCACAAAATCTCTCTGTGACAGGACAAGATGTTTGGAAGTAAACACAGATGCAAAAGTAAATGGCACAAGATTATGTAAGGCAACCTGAGAAGACTCCTCTCAGTTGGTGCAAAGTGTGAGCCACCAGAAACACGTAGTATCAGGTACAGTCATAACTCGGGTTGAAGTTGCTTCAGGTTGAGCGTTTTCAGGTTGCGCTCCACGGCGACCTGGAAGTAACGGAACACGTTACTTCCAGGTTTCGCCACTCGCACATGCGCAGATGCTCAAAATGACATCACGCGCATGCGCAGAAGCGGCAAATCGTGACCCGTGCACGCGCAGACATGGGTTGTGTTCTGCTCTGGATGCAAACGGGGCTCCGGAACAGATCCCGTTCACATCCAGAGGTACCACTGTACTCCAGGTTTTGCTCTGGCTTCCTGTACGTTGGAGGAAAATGTTGTGGAGAGATTTGAAGGGGAGAAGTGGTAGATGGGAAAAATCCACCTTTCCCCAGCCTTCTGTGTTTCCTCAGAAATAAGTTTCTGGAGATTAGTAAGGCTATTAGAGGAGTCTGGCACATCTGGTCCAGGATCCTGTTCTCAGAGTGCACATGGGAAGCCCAGAAGTAGGATCTGAGTGCAACAGTACTCTCCCCCCAAAAACCAAAGTGGAATGAAATTGTTGTGGTGGTATGAATGCACTCTATGGGCTAGTTTGGATGTAATGAAGAATGATGGTTTCTCAGTACATTAATGAACAGTTGGTTCATGAGCAACCCTCTCCCCATGTGGCTGTAAGGAGATTGGGAACACTGCTCTTCTTTCAAAGTAGCCACAGTTCCTCGTTATGTCTGTAGTCGGGGAACTGTGGCTGATTTAAACAGTGGTTTCAAATTAGCTGGGATCTGAAAGTACATTTTGATCCTGGCTTTCTCCTTAAAATACCACCGTTTAAAGAAACCACAGTTCTCTTAAGCTCAAAAATAATGGGGAACTGTGGTTACTTTGAAAGCAGAAGTGAAAACCATAGAAACAGAGGAGGAAGCACATGTGAAATGATGGCGCATGGAGATTTGCACATGTACCTCTAAGAATGGCCGACTACGGCAAGATAGAAGTTTTAAACATGCTGCTTGTCAGTGAAGCCAGCTGCTTGTTCTAAAATTAACACCTACCTTGTGTTTTCTTCTGTAGTTCGTGACATCTGTTTTGTAATTCACTCTCTCGTAAGAGAGTCGCCTGGAGTTGCTCAGCTTGCTGCTCAGCTGCGTCTGATATCAACCTTAAACGCTGCACCTCCTCCTGGAGGAGCAGATTTTCCCTCTGGCATTCACCCAAGCTTCGGTTCAGACTGGATATTTCTGAAAGGTAATTGGATTTCTCATCAAAAAATAAAAAATAAAATTCCAGATACCATCACAATAAAAATGACTGTCCTCTGTTGTACAGAAACAACTCTTCAGGAAAGAAGAATGAATTTCAATTAATTTTTGCTGGCTATTTAAGTACTACAGATTCAGTACCTACACCTACGAAGATGCCATCACTGTTAAAATAAATTATAAATAAATAAATATGATTTTGATACCTTTGTCCCAGCTTCAATTTAATTGTCAATTTGTATAGTATTTCTCTATTTGACAAGTACCAAGCATATTTGCTGCTCCTTATCCAGACTTCCTTTGGCTAAGTATGCATAGTTATTGCCAGTCACTGCTGGAATATACATTAATTGTGACAAGACAGGGCTGAAGGACCAAAAATCAGAGGTAATTCTAAGTGTGGTCTGTATTGCCAAGTGCATAAACAGTTACAGAATTTCAAAACGGCACTGCATGCAGAGAGGTACAATGTTCTCAGGTTCCTGAACCTTAATTTCCTGCCATCCAAACTCAACATTAAAAAAAGAAGCACTTTTAGAATGACGTGTTACAGAAAGAATGGGGAAAGCATACACATATTTTTACATTTGCCTCATGTAAGATAGTCAGAACATTTCTGCACCAGCTACTCAGAAAAACCAGAGACAGTGTCGTATTCAGCAAGAAAAGCACATGTATCAAGTCAGCTGCTCTCAACATTTACAAAACCTTCGGTAGTTAACTGACCAAAATAACAACACATCTGAATAGGAGGAGCTGGGATTTCATGCAGATTACAAAAATAAAAAATGTGCATAAAAAAGAATCAGGGTCACATATATCTAGGGCAAAACAACATTAAAATGGATTTTCTTATAACACATATTATCTAGTCAGATGTCTGACCGGGGCCCAATGTCAAAATAATTCACTCATATCCCTATATCCTGCTATTCTGTTCTGAAAAGCTGCAGTGAATTTAACACTTGCACAAGAACCTGAGATCACCTGGAAACAGAGAGAACAGCAGTGGCAGAGGCAGCATCCTGCCAATGTGCCTCTTTTGCCCTTTGCGAACGAGAGCACAGCGAGTTCTCCCATTGCCTACCCCTTGAGGCGCCTTTGGAGACTTCAGATTCCATGACCCTTCATCTCTATGACTTAAGGGGAAGGTTGACAGTTGTTTTTCCTGTGAGGCAGAAAATTCCCTGTGTTGGATTTTGTTCAAGTCATTTCAACGTGACCCATAAAAAACGGTCAACAGTCATAAGCTACTGCATGCAGCTAATTTTTGTGGGCAAAAGCTGGCAGGGAAGGGAGAGGGCTGAGTTTCAAATTTAGAGACCTGGACCCAAATCAGAGCTCAGCTATGAAGCTCGAGGAAGCCATTCTCTCCGACGCCGAGACCTCATTGAAGTGGGAAGCCCTTGCTAAGGCTGTACCCATTTCAACTCACAGGTGGAAACTCACAAGACTAAATGCCCAGTGATAACTAAAAAACTTTCTTTAAAAAGCACATTTGCATAGGAAAACAGATTTCACTGAGGCTGGGGCACAAGGCTTCTCCCTGACATCTCACTTTCTCTGTAGCATTATTATAATTAAAGACCCCATCATATCGCAGCCGATCATCTAAAGTAGTACGGGCAGTGCACAGGTTTACTGCCTCAGCAATAACTAGTTTTTAGTCTGATATACTTTACAAGGGTGCTGCAAAGACAAAATAAATCAGAAGTGTAAATCACTATTAAAAGTCTGTAGAAATGACCAAGAATCAGATGCTGGGGAAAGTTGTAATCTGGTAATTTACCTGTCAATGCTGTTAAATTAATCTTTTTTATGTGTAAAAAAATCTCTCCTTTGAGTGCACTCCATTGGCTGAGAAAGTCAAATATTCCTCCTTTAACACTGTGTACCTCTCCTTTGATAAAGGGAAGGAGAACAAAGGCTTTCTTTAGGATGAATTTATGTCGTTCCAATGTTTTTCTGCCAAAAAGGAAAAGAAGAACTAATTGGTAAATGGTTTTTTAAAAACAAAATAGCACTTTGAAAAAGAAGCATTTAAAAAAAAATATTGATTTATATCAATAAAAGAAGCTTATTGAGTTTTCTGCCTTGCAGTTGGATTCATCAATACTTGGAATATGTTTCAACATTTTCAGCTAAACTTCATATGGCAATTATGACTATCTTTACCAAATACCTCTCCATCTCGTGCAGCTGGCACACCTAGCACATGCAGTTTTGAATTCCACTTGCATGATTTTTTAGAATTATATCATTGTTTGGACAAAATGGGTGCTCTACAAAAGATTACAGCTAATATTCAGACAAAATTTTCATGGATTAATTTTTTTAATGCCAAACAATTTGTAGGCATCTTGCATTTTTGGATAATTTTCTGATTTGGAAAGACATTAGTCTGTCAAAAATCTTGATTTGTGGTAGAGATGGCCAAACTTTGGCTCATGAAGTATAGCTCCACACAGTTAAACAAATGAATGTGTATTAATGAAGACGCTTGTAGGGAATTCCTGTGTGAGGGCTTTCAGTTTGCTGAAGCCATTCTCCTTTTTTACTCCCAGCCACAAACTGGGATCAAGGGAGAAGATGGGGAAATACCATGGTGATTTGTTGTGGTCCAGTGCAGGAGGTTTCCAAGGATTATGTGCTAGACTAGGGAATTGAGAGAAGAAGTAAGCAGGCTGGTTAAGGGGGAGTTGGGTAGAGCAGAGCAGCAAAAGCAGAGGCACACATAGGTAAACAAAGAGGCTTTCAGGAAGTTGGACAGTGATGACGGGAACACAAAGCTCAATTTAGGATAGCAGTTGACAACAGAAGACCATGTATGCTTCACTTCTCAGCTGCATCACTATTAGATAACTCTTGGGCACAGAAACTTTGGACATTGCCAATATTTAGTCTATTTAGAAGGTTATAGAGCTAGAAATTATGAACACTGGAAAATACTGGACACAATTAAAAAAATACACTTTAGGGTCATGGACGGGGTGAAGTAAAGAATTCAGACCCACTATAACTCCAACTCAGAAATGCATGTGGAGATATCTATGTGTCTTTTGGCTTTCTTCCTCAAATGGCAGTCCCCCTTCTTCCCCTATGAGGAAGTTCTGAACCCAGGTTACAGCAAAATATACTTTCACTTGAACATACAATCTGTTATTTGTGATTGCTTGCAAACCAGAATGCTACCTGCTTGTTTGACATCATAACATCTGGATGCAACCTATGACATGGGTCACATGATTACCTACGTTGTGATTGACTGGGAAAAAGCCACAGTGAGCCTTTGGGTGTGTACTTTTTACCTTTACTTCTCCCTATGTGACAGAAAGTGAGTGAAAGGTTCCACATTCACTTTAGAACAACCACAAACTCAGAGAATTGTGGTTTTTCTAATTAAAGTTTGTTAACAAACCAGAATCTGAAACCACCATTTAATTGTGATTTGTTTAAACTAACTTTGGTTGGAACAAGCTATAGTTCCCGAATACAAATGTAACACACCTGATCTACTAATCATAGTTTACGTAAAATCATAGGAATGAAGCATTTCAATAAAAACATGTAGGCAGCTAATGCTATGATTTTAACAGATATATCCTACTGCGTGCATCACAAAAAAGTTGGTTCTCCTACATACTGCCTTCTGAAATCTCTTACCGCAACAGCTGTGTTTGTCTGCATGAAACTTCATTCTCTTTCTGGAGGCTCCTCATCTGTTCATTTAGATTTTGTATTGCTGCTTGCTTATTTTCAAGCTCCAGAGATAAAGTTTTTATCCTATAAGAAGTTAAAAAAAGGAGGGGGTTAAAAAAATGTAACACCACCATCTGCTAATAAGAAATCAATGCCTTGGATCCAAAAGTATCCTTCCTTGAGAAAAAAATCATCTTCCTGTGCATGGAAGGGCAGCTGCTGATTTAGTGGAAGAATGTTGCACTAGACATGTGAACAAAAGCCCTGAAAGGCTATTGTTAAAGACCTGATGATACAGTGAGGGATGGGGGAATACCCCGGCATCCTGCTTGTAAGTATTGTACTGACATATCTGCCTTTAACACCAGTTGTAAAGTCATGTTTTGCTCAGCATCTTCTGCTCAACAGATAGCATGCTCCAACATAAGCGCTTTTTTCTTTCCTTTTCCTTTTTCGCTGGCACAGCAGATCTTTCCATTATCTTTTGATCACTGCACAGTTTTTAAAGCAGAAAGATTTTCGTCTTCATTTCCCCACCCCATATTCTTACAGCCGGAAACTGACATGATTTGCTTTGGCAGGAAGAATAAGGGGAGGGTGGTGGCGGTGGCGACAGTGCAGAACTTAACAGCAAATTTAAAAACTAAATAACTGTAAGATATTTTACACTTCTTTCAAAAACCACAAAAGGCATTCAAGATTTGGATTACATACAGTTTATTTAAATTTAAGACTGTTTATCAATTAATTAAAAGCCTGGAGATTAAACTAAAAGTCTTGAGATGGTTAACATTCTTAGATATAATTCAAAGCCCTGGTAGGCAGTGGGGGGGGATGTGATGAAGTGGCATAGCCACTGTCACATCTGTAGCCCCGCTGCTCATCCCTGCTGCGGTGGGAGAGGGCAGCTAAGTCATACTTGGAGATGTAACTAATTTAAGTTCACTCATTTCAGCAGGTTTACTGTGGATATTCCTTTAGTAGAATACAACACAACACATGGAATACTGAGGAACTGACCACTCAGTCATGCAAAGACAACCTGCCTTAGATTACTGGCTCGCTCATTCATTTCTGTTGGTAAATAGAGGTCTGCTAAACACTTTGTAAAGCCATCTTTTTGTGGTACCTTCGTGACAACCAGAACTGGCTTTTTAAAAGCAGCTGAAGGTAGTTTGAAAATGATTCATGCTAGCCATCTTCATGTATTCAAAAGGGGGGCAATGTGCATGGGAGGGAGCAGCCATTGCCCCCAATCAACCTATGTCCACTATGCACAGGGGTGTTTTGTGAACAGCTTGAATCCAGACTAAGTTGATTTTAATGGTGACTTAGTCATGATTTTTTACACTGATGTCAACGGGACCCAAGTTCAACTCATTTGGGGTTGTGATCCACCTAAGTTCTACTCAGAGAAGATGTGCTGAAATAAAGAGACAAGTTGGTTATGTCCATTAATTTCAATGAGTCTGCTGAGTATGATACATACTAGATACAACTCTTAAGTCTGGATGCAACCCAGTGTGTAGTTTGGGAGCGCAGCCTGCTATCAAGATGTTCCACCATCATCACCATGTTCATCATCTCCAGCTCTGAATGGCTGAAAAAAGCTGGTGTGTTAATTTACCCCACTTTCAGCTCCGGTAAACCAATTTGCAAGTTTTCTGTACTCCAGAAACCTGCAAAACTGGTTTGACCTGAGGCAACAGTAGAACAAAAGGAAAATATGGGGAGGGTCCATATCACTGGTAGAGCATATGCTTTGCTTGCAGAAAGTTTCAGGTCTGATCACCAGCACCTTCTCCAGTTAAAAAGATCAGGTAGCAAGTGATGTAAAAAACCTCTGCCTGAAACCCTGGTAAGTCCCTAGCTGTCAGAGTAGGCAATACTGAACTAGATAGACAATGAGGGCCCTTTTCCTTATAAAAAACCAATTTCCTATGTGAATAATACAACATGAAAAGTGAAACCTCTTAAATCACATGCAAGCTTTTAAAAAGCTATCTGTCCCTAGCCTTGGTGTTCCTTGTTAAACCTCTCACAATGGAGTACATTTCTTTACCCTATAAAACACATCCCACTGAAGCTGCAAACATGCTGAAATACCAGACGCGATCAGCAGATCCAAAGGATGTAAGAACTATGGTGTGTGAATAGCACAGTCTTATGCTGTGCCCTTTTCTCTGGCGTCCAGCTTCTGCCAATTGGATGCCCTTAGATAGCTATCAAGCAATTTTCACTTTTTAAGAGAATCATAGAATCATAGAGTTGGGAGGAAGCCTGAGGATCATCTACTCCTATCCCCTGCAATGCTGGAATATGCAGCTGTCCCACACAGGGATCGAACCTGCAACACTGGCGTTATCAGCACCACACTCTAACTAACTGAGCTATCCAGGCTAGAAGTCATGGGGTTGCATCCCATGAAGCTCTACTCAGAGCAGCCTCAATGAAATAAACAGAGCTAATGTCATCATGTCCATTAATTTCAGTGGGTCTACTCCAAGTAGGATTTAGTCGCCTAAAAACCACTTTATTTAATTCACAAATGTATGCATTTCTGTGTACTCATGCATCTCCAAAATATGGAGAAGCCCCTATGTTATTTTTCAGTAGCCTGACCTTGACCACTTGACTGGACCCCCAAAAAGATTTCGCTTCAAAAAAACAGAATGGCCAATGAGAACAGTATGGAGCCAGCATGGTAGTGGTTAGGAGAGTCAGACCACCACCGGAGAAACCTGGATTCCATGATGACGCTTGCAGTGATCTTGGACCAGTCATTCTGTCTACCTAACCTGACACACAGGGTTGTTGACGGAGATGTTTATAATGTATGCTGCCCTGGGGTCTTTGGAAGAAGGATGGGATTAAGACATTAGTTTAATAATAATATTATAATAATTTTTTATTTGTACCCCGCCCATCTGGCTGGGTTTCCCCAGCCACTCTGGGCGGCTTCCACAAAGACCAAAAATAAACTAAGATATCACACATTAAAAACTTCCCTGAACAGGGCTGCCTTAAGATGTCTTCTGAATGTCAGGTAGTTGTTTATCTCTTTGACATCTGATGGGATGGCGTTCCACAGGGTGGGCGCCACTACCGAGAAGGCCCTCTGCCTGGTTCCCTGTAGCTTTGCTTCTCACAATGAGGGAACCACCAGAAGGCCCTCGGCGCTGGACCTCAGCCTCCGGACAGAACGATGGGGGGTGGAGACGCTGCTTCAGGTATACTGGGCTGAGGCCGTTTAGGGCTTTAAAGGTCAACACCAACACTTTGAATTGTGCTCGGAAACGTACTGGGAGCCAATGTAGATCTTTCAAGACGGTGTTATACAGTCTCGGTGACCGCCCCCAGTCACCAGTCTAGCTGCCATATTCTGGATTAGTTGTAGTTTCCGGGTCACCTTCAAAGGTAGCCCCACGTAGAGCGCATTGCAGTAGTCCAATAATAAAACACATGCACTCTGTACACTGAAGACTTGCACCAGTTGGAGAGTTCTCCCCAAAATTTAATGTGTGTGGCTTTTGATGAAAATATCCTATGTTTGCAGTGAATAAGGCGTTAAACATTATTAAAGGCAGAACTGAATGTCCTTCTCCTTGGACATTTTAATCAAACTTACTGAAAGTTTTTGAAATGAAACACAGGCATCTAATCTTTATTCAAGGCAGTATAAAATATAATAAGGAAGTATAGGGTTACACCATTAATATGCACACCAGCAATTCCTTGCCAACAGAGGCCTTTAGCAACACCAGAGACTGGTAGCTTTTGAAAACTGAATTACTTAAGCTAATAAAACTTGCAGTGACACTTCTTGAACTGAGCTTATCGTTCCTTATAAAGTAATTATATTATTCTGCATTTTACTGCAACGATTCAGGCTAACATTTGATACCCATAAATTACATGCCGTCTCCCTTTTGAAATATAAACAGGAAAATGAACCACCAACAACTTCATCACATTTTCTTTTGCCAAAAAAATAGCATTTTTTTTTGTCTGATTCCCAGGATTGGGTGATAAATATCTCCCAGGAATGCCTTGAAAAGAACAGCCAGCTCTCCCAGTTTAGCTGAAAATTGCACGTGACATAATTCTTACTGGGTGTGCAATAAAGAAGTGAGTAAAATCAATTATTTTTAGATCAGCACTTCTGAAGTTGGCTGGTGTGAACCTCTCCATTCCTTCTCCCAAGTAGGAACACACCTCTTTGAGGATCCCCCAGTGTGATTGAGAAAAAAGAAAACAAACATGAGGTTTACATGACAGTGGCTGTTCTCAAGGCATAGTTGAATTTCCAAGAGGCAGTGTGGTGTAGAACCCCCCCCCCTTGAATTTTCACGGAAACATACAGAATTGCAGAGTTGGAAGGGATCCCAAGGGTCATCTACTCAAACCCTCTGCAATGTAGGAATCTCAACTAGATCGTACATGACAGGTGGCCTTGCAACCTCGGCTTGGGGGAAACCATTTGCAATGGGGTAAGAGTAAGGGCAAAGTAGCGGACACTCTCCCAAGCTTAGTGTCTGGGGAAGTGAAGGAAGTTTCCCTCACTTTCCGTTTGCAAGTTGCCTTCCTACAGTGAAAGAGAGACAAACATGGCTTAAGTTTGGGTGATACTGGTTTAATATTCTGTAACATCTTAGACCAGGGGTCAGCAAACTTTTTCAGCAGGGGGCCAGTCCACTGTCCCTCAGACCTTGTGGGGGGCTGGACTATATTTTTTGTGGGGGGAATGAACAAATTCCTATGCCCCACAAATAACCCAGAGATGCATTTTAAATAAAAGGACACATTCTACTCATGTAAAAACACCAGGCAGGCCCCACAAATAACCCAGAGATGTATTTTAAATAAAAGGACACATTCTACTCATGTAAAAACACGTTGATTCCCAGACCGTCCGCGGGCTGGATTTAGAAAGTGATTGGGCCGGATCCAGCCACCGGGCCTTAGGTTGCCTACCCAAGTCATGAGTAGGCAAACTAAGGCCCGGGGGCCGGATCCGGCCCAATCACCTTATGGCTTATCATGTGTATTTTTATTTAAAATGCATCTCTGGGTTGTTTGTGGGG